CCTTCCCACCCTGCCAATGAAAAGGACCTATTAAGTGGTCATACAATGTGGTTTTAACCTGCCGATATCATTAGACTAATCAGTCTTCAAACTTCCGTGCCTGTCTAGAACATCCCAACTATATTGCTATGTGGAGACAGAGACCATTCAGAAATCATCTCCTTTTCAGATTCTTTCCAATCACTCCAGAATGAATTCACCAGAAAAGGATGCACCTCAAGAGGAGAAGGAACTCAAGGACATTGCATGGCTGTGCGGATTGTTCGCATTGTTTTCTGCCTTGCTGCTCAGGTGATCCATTCGCTCAAGAATAATCAAACATGAGACTTTGTTAAGAATCTAGTTACAGGTACTTTACCATGACCACATCAATGCTTTTTCCATTAGCAGTCTTGGCTTTCCACCAGTTCTATTGGCGAAGACGGAATCTACCTCCTGGACCACTTCCTCTTCCACTGATTGGAAACACCTTATCGGTAGGTTTGAGAAGAGGGTCAACTGCCTTGATTTTTTTGCCCATTTTGTGCGGGCGTGTGTACTCGGCGCTCATGCCCAAGTCCTATGCAATAGAATCGCGCGAAGGTAAGAGAATTTCCGCCAAGTGAAGTTAATTTTTTGTCGACTTGTAGTCACGTGGTCCACAAGATCACTGCATGTACAAGCAAATAAGGGTGTGTGTTTTTCGCACTCAGCTGACGGGAGTTTCCAATTACAGGTTATTTCCTATGCCACTGTTTCGGGTGTGTCTGCTTTGTCTGTTTACTGCTCTTATGACTACCAAAGACTTGTAAAAGCGCGCACATGAACCGCTATCACCACTGCAACCTTGTGCGTCGCATACAGGGCACTCAAATGGCACTAAATCGCTGTGATGATCGCAACGGGGGGGGGCTAATTTACCGCACAGTTAGGAAGAGTCGTATTTGGCCATAGCAACAAAATTCTATTTGGAATAGTGAGTTTCTCTTGTTTTGAAGAGGGACCGCCAAAGATCGGGAGTGTTGGACCTGTTCCATTCGTCTGCAGAGCCTGCAACGGTAATGTCACAAAAATTTTTCGGCGTCCAAAGATTCATTTCTGCCAGACGTATCTTTTGATTTGAAGGTCAAGCCATAGCGCAGTGGTTCCTGCTGATACGGAGATATCATCGTGGTGAAATGGCCTTCGAATCAGATGTTCCAATTGTTGAGAGCAAAAAACATTGACCCAGCGCAGACTGCACAAAAACGGTTCGCTCTGGGTGCAAATCGACGACATCATAATGGGTTGAAAATCAGCCAGTGAAATTATTGAAGTCAGTAGTGGTCTCGGGACTGAAATCATCAAAGAATATCGTGGGCTGCGAGGATATCTTCGGATCAGCATCTGCAGTACGCGCTATACTTCTGATTGTCCCTTAGAAGGAAAACATGCAGCATCTTTCGCGTACCCACGGTGGGGAAAATGATTCATCATGAAGTTTGATTTCATCCTTTTCAAAATACGGTACGGTTTTTCTCTCAGACTTTGTTCAAACAAACTAAGCCTGGAGAAGTAATTCGATTTGCATGATATAGCACCGATACAGAACTGCGATATCGGATGCTGTTGTCACAGATAGTCTTGTTCGCTGCGGATGCTGGGGCTGTCAGAGGGAGGACCTCTGGCGGTGAGACACCCTGTCCTCCACCATCGTTGGAGAGGGCAAACGTCATCGGTTTGAAACAGGCTGATGCTGCCCAAACCCAGTATCCCTGACACGCCCCAGCATCTGCACTGAACAAGACTATAACAGTGGCAGCAGCAGCCTATATCGCCTCTCCAGTTCTATATCGGAGCCATCAAACTTCCTTTCCCAGGCTTAGTTTATTCAAACCAGGTTTGAGAGAATGAAACTTATACCGTACGTCATAAAAGGTTCAAAATCAAACTTCATTCTTAACACTTTCCGCCGATGAGCATGCGAGAGATACTCCATGTGCTTCCTTTCAATCGCAGTTCTTCAAAATGCCTCGTTTTCTCGGAACAGATAGATTATTCAGATCGATATGAGAAACCCGGCCAAGACCTTCAGTTCATGGCATGCCGTCTATGGTCCCATTTACACCGTATGGCTGCCACATCCCATGATAGTGATGGCAAGCCATGAAGTGCTCAAAGAAGCCCTCATACGTCAAGGTAGGCATACCTAAGTACTTTGTATGTAGGTGAGCTCAACTCTGTAGGTCCTACATTCAGGACCTGCATTCGCCGGACGTCCTTCTGGGTACATATGGTCGATGTTCACAAAAAACCCCGAGCATGGTGACGGTATTATTCTTTGCGAAGGCGAGCGTTGGGAGCAAATCCGCGAGTTCGCTCACAAGATATTCAGGTGAAAGATTTTTTGTTGGCAATATGGTTTGCAGAATTGAGCGTAACGTGAAATTTGTCACTTAAGAAATTTCGGTCTCGGTCGGACACAAATGGAAAAAAATTGTCCACAAACATCATTATATGATTCAACACATTGATGCTAAACTGGAGGGAAAACAGGTCTTGAGCTTTTTTTTCGTTCAACGAGTGACACAGTAAGGGATAAACATAGGCCGTTCCCTGATTAGTCGCTCAACGCACTCGATTTCCATGCGGTGTTGTGGAGGTATTGCGTTTGAGCAACTATTTAAATTTCGAAGTGGTTGTGGGTACTGGTTCGAATTGAATTGAAAATTAATTTTTCGTGAGGCGAATCTTGTAGCAGATGGCTTATCTGGACATAGTCGATCCCCTCCGAACGATGGAGCGCGTTGCCTGGTTTTGAGCGTAGCCAGATCAGATTTTCCCATCAGGTGTACTGGGCTCAGGATGGCATCATCGGTGCCAAAAGGGCGCTCAGGCTGCGCTACGATCCACGCCGCTTCACATGCCCTTCAGATAATTCGTAAAAGCTTCCCCAAGAACCATCAGATTACTTCTCTCACGGTTTGTGAATAGAAGTTGAATGCGTGGCGCACTCCTTACGACTGATTGACGAGTCCGACATTCGGGCATTACTTCATCAGAGTTGTGACCAATTTGTAGATGACTTGTTAACAGCATTTCTTTCAGCAAATCCCGATGGATCTCGACGAGCCTATCTCTTTGTGTGTAGCTAATATCATCCAGGACTTCGTATTGGGAAAGTCCTACAAATTTGGCGATCCACAATTCCGCAAATTTAAAGACCTTATAGATGCTGTGCTAGCTGACGTGAGTTGAACATGCGATTGTTCCCGATGGACTTCTAAGCAAGTAGGTGCTGTTTAGGTAGCCTCCAAACCAGTTCAGCTTGTCAACGCGTATCCGATTCTTGCTTACTTGCCAATTCCCGCTCTTAGACGATACAAGGAGAACGGATTTGCATTGCAGAGGTAACTAGAAGTTTTACCATCGCAATAGGGGTGGGGGGGGGGATGTAAGGACCACAGCCCATAACTCGCTACTTCATCACATGCAGCAAGCCGCGTTCTCAGGCATATTTGTAGTTTTTGTGCATTATTGTTGTTTGTTTTTATGTATTATTTGTTTGTTGTACTTTTTGTGTAATCTTCGGGACCAATTCGGAAGAACGTTTCATTGATCCCCTGTGAAATAGCCCTGTAGCGCTGCGAATCCATCCTTCAACGTCATGGCAGATTGAAAAACAACCCCGCGTTCGACCTGTACGTGGGATTCCTTCCTTGTCCAGGTAGTAATGTGCCTAATGGCAAAAGTAATTACTTCCGAGTGCTCCATGTACTAGAGCGCTCTCCTTGAATCGCTAATCGCTTCTTTAGGTCAGTGCTCCGTAAGCCATGTTCTGACTGCTCACGGCTTTCAATCTTTCCAGTATACGATGCGTGGCTCGAATGCATAAGCGATCGCCGCTAGATTTCATAGTCCATGGCTAGCAGTACCAAAGCGTTCAATGTTGAGTTTCAAGTCTTTGAGCTGCTTGGATCAAAAAACTGCCCATTTGTCATAGAACTGTAGAATCTCTCTTCCGGTTCTCATTAGTCGACATAATTCTGTTCAAAGTTTCAGCCACTGAGGACTTTTTCTCGAGTCGGATACCTTTACGTGTCAGTTCCACTATGTCCATCCGTGACCATGCCGCGACCTTCGCTCATTTGAACTGTCGAGAAATTTTGCGTGCATGATCTCTTTGGAACTGTATCTTTCCTGGTTCCGCTGCTACTGAGCAGTATCGTCACGTGAAAGCTCCAGAAACAAAATGATTAAGATGTGATAGGAGAAAAACCAGTGGCCACAAAAGGTCGCGCACAATTGAAGGCTGTGCTGTTCTTCGGCCACAAATTCACATTGAACATCGGTATCATCTTCTCAGAAGGCGTCGACGTTGACGTTGGCGTTGACACTGCAAAAAGGCGACATCTTCACGACTCCTTTTCCGCGTCTTTTTCCAGGTGGACTTTCTCCGGATACCTGCAGTTCAAAGACCTGCACGAGGAAGTGGACAACACACCATGTTTTTGTTTCTTCTTCAAACTCTAGGAAAGAAAGGAGTCTTCGGAATGACTGATTGGTTATATGTGTGAACTATGCAGTGCAAAAATGTATGTCAACACGGAGCGCTACACCTTCTCAAAAAACCAGCCGGCCACAACGTTGCGAGGATGAACTGTTTGTTATCACATGACATAAACAACTCGAACAGTTGACAAATTGCTAATGGAAATGTACGGGAAAACATCGACAAGTGAAGGGTCGAAGAACAGGGAACGTTGAGTGCGGTGTACGTAGACAAACTGTACATTCCGTCACCTCCATGGACCTTCGAGGACACGGCTTGCCGCGTGCGGGGTGAACGGGGACGCACCTGCAGTATTCAGATCAAAAGTGCACGGGTAACTTTCTCCGCTCGAAAACGCATAGACACGTGGCCGGAGGCCACTGATACCATGGGGTTGAACCCTTATTCCGCCTCGTGCCACCTGACCAGCAAGGCCCCTGACAATGGCCAAACGCGCTACTTGTCTGCGTCTTCTCACTTCGGGTTGTTCTCTTCCACTGAGTGCGCGTTCCTTTGCGGGACTTTCCATATTTCTCGCTACTCTCAAGTTGCAGCCCTTGCGTCAAAAAGTGCTGCAACTTGACAATAGCGCGACCGGAGTATGAAGTCGGCATAGGGGTACCACACCCTACAGCCTCGTTCCTGTGTATTTTTGAAACGTTGTACGCTACTGCAGCTGCAGACCCATTCACCTTGCACATAGGAAATAACCGTCTTCTGAGGTGAACGTACAGTTTGTTTTTAATCAGCTGTTGATGGGCGTGACCTCTCCTCCTCTCCCACTTGCTGCAGTTTTTGGT